GACCACTTTAAGTTCCGGCTTTTCCAGACAGCTTTAGGAAGTGTTTTCATGGCATGCTTAATCGACACACATTCTCACATATGGTCATACACATTTAACCTAATTGCCAGTTTTAAATAGCACGAAATAGCTATAACAGTTAAAATGTTGTACGAAAAAGAGAAATGTATTCCTGCTCGTAGGTTCTCTTGGCTGGCTTCCTCCCCGACACACCCAGTCTCCTCTGTTGCTAATACTCTGCCGCACAATTTGACACAACTAATGACAGTAATAGGAGCCTAACCTTGAAACTGAGTGGAACAAAGTAACACGGTCCAAATACAAAACTCCTCATTCTGTAAAAGACCGTATGGTGACCGTGTGATTTTATGCCAGTGTCAATAATGCATTGTTCTCTGGCATGGATGAAATCAGGGCAGGCGGGTTAAATGGTGAGGCAGCTGGAGGGAGGAGTGGAGGAAAATAAGCGAGACTAATTAAAGTCAGAGGCTCCTAATCAGCCACTGCCGAACAGACATCAATCGGTCAAACTAGAAAACATAGTAATCGTTTACTAGCTTGTTATAAATGATGCGCGGAAATCTTCAGATTTTTACTCTTCTTCAGTTTCCAAATGTGCATTACAATTCAGTCTGAACAACATTTTCCAATTACTTAAATGGAAAATGACGTCTCCCGGCATCTGTCTTTATGCGTTTCCACTGGTTCAGGTTTTGAATCTTTTTTTGAACTGGCTTCCAAGGAGGCCATGATGGTTCCATTTGGAAAGTTACAGATAAGTGTTTGAGATGGCAAATCATTCAGCTTCTCGCTCCGTTCCTTCTTCTTATTGATGTTTCCAGAAAATTAGGTGGTAAAGAGCACATTGTTTCCAATTTGCCCAAATACGCTTAGCCTCAGGACTGACCGTGTGCCCGTTGGAGGAGAGCAGTTGTAGCAGATGATGTGTTTTGGTTGACCTGTACTGCCAAGTAAAGCAGAGCCTAGCTCCTGTCGACCACACTTGGGAGGAACTCTTTCACTGGATAACGTCATTACCTCTTTATTGTTTTTTAAACCTGGCCTTGTTCGACGATCCAACATGTACATCTCTGCGTAAGCCTCCGATTAGCTTAAATGTGAGCCATGAGGGACAGTATCTCCAGGTTGTTACAATAAGCAGTTTCATACTGCAGCTTCAGACTGTGAATGTTTCTCATTTACTGCATCACAGGCGCTTTGAAGTTTGACACGTTCCTCTTAAAACTCGACGAGCTTCTCCACTCTGCTTAGCGAGGTGTCCTGTCCGTGAACCCTGTCAGGACCACCCTGGCAGGGTGCCTGAGAGGGTCAGACCCAAGGTCCTTTTTACAAGCTGTCACGGGTTTGGTGGTGAAACTGTCCATCAGACTTTTGGGTAACGCACGTGTCAGCCAGTGCTGTCATTACTGATGTCAAATGTTACAAAGAAGACTTCCTCGGTGAGCGTCAGCAACAGGAAGGACGTCTGTTACGACTTTACCCTTGATTCACAGGAAGCTCCTGCTTCAGCTTTAACTCCGGCTATTCTGCACCAGAACGGTCATTTTTAGCAGCGTATACGTGGCCTTGGCTATCGGAAGAAGCGGCGAGGCGCCTGCTTAAATAGATTTATGGCTCCAGTTCATGGGCGGGGCGATCCGAAGACTGTTATCTGTGATGGAAGAAAATGTCTGACATACTTGGGTCGGCGCCTGCTGCTTTTTCCAGCAAGCAGAAGTTGAATGTATAGTGCTCTCACAGACTGAATGGTGTGAGGGGAAGTGACCTACAAAGAGCTGCAGCTGCTGCTCTCCTGGACCAGGGGGAAGACTTCTTAGGATTTCCCACTTTCTTCTGTTGGCTGCAG